ACCCAGATTCGGAAGTCAGAATCCTTATCCCTTCAACGACTTGACCAGGTTGCTGGACCGCTTTGAGCCTCTCCGAGACTTTTAGCACCACGTGGTGGCTGTAATGCGGTAGCGCTGAACCTGGAGCAGAATATCAGCGGCAGGTGGCCGACCTCCTCCAACCTCTTTTACCTGCGAAACAGCTGCAAGTGAACCACAGATGGCGCCACCTTCTCAACCACCGCTGCGATGAAGTTGTAGTTGCTCCTGAGCCAGCCTGCGCTTCTGGTCCCTGTGAAGAAATGCTCCATTCGTGGGAATGACAGGGCCCTCTTCCCCTGACACTCTCGGGGGTCTGACCTCAAATCAGTCTCTCCCCTGCGTCTTTCTCCACCTTTCCTCCCTCCTTTTTCTCTCTTCAATCTCCACCGTTCTGCTTTTTCCATGCGGGCCCGTAAGGACACGCCCTGAAGAAACCAGACCCGTCATCCCGGTTGTGTAGGGGGAAATAGAAAGGAAGGGGACACTTAACAGGTGTGGGGAGGATTTTGGGGGGAAAGCCACATGGGAACCGGAAAGGAGACACCTAAGGGGAGATGGAAATCGGGAACAAGGAGTGGAATCCCCCAGCAGTGCCCTGAGAGCGTGCGGCCCTGGCACTCACCTAGATCCCCACAGTCCCCCTTCTGCACCGGCAGGGCCGGGAGCGCGCCACGGCGGCGTGCTGCGCGGTTCTCAGCGCGGAGCGCGCATAGGCTGGGGTAGGTGCGCCCGTCACTGCCGCACACCGCTGCCCCAGTGGCCGGGCAGCCGCAGGTGCCCAGCCGGGTGCCACCCAGGCGCCTGGCGTTGAACGGCGCCTCGCACTGAAGCCCCGGGGCACAGGGCCGGCCGAGCAGCCCGCCGCAGGCCTCGCCCTCGGCCCCAGGGCACACGCGGCAGCAGCGGCAGCGGTCCAACACTGGCGTAGCCCCCGCGGAGCAGGTGGGTAGCGGAGGACAGCGCATTGGCTCACAGGTCGCAGGGCAGAATGGAGAGGGCCAGGTCCTCCGAGCCTCCACCCTGGGAACCGGCATCGGGGGCAGCAGCAGCCACAGCAGGAAGAATTGTCCAAGGCCAGCTGGTGGAAGCAAAAGTCTAGTCATCCTGCTCCTTTCTTCCTCCCACTTTTCCAAATGCTTTCCTCTGGACCCACAACCACTTTTAAAAGAGCAGCACTCTCCAGACTAGGGATCCGCCTCCACCAGTCCCAGATTTTAAGGGGCAGAGCCTGGCAGACCTCTCCACGTACACACCCATACATCTTCCCACCACCCATCCCTCCTCGAGGGCCACATCCACCCCCAGGCAATGAGGAGGTCCCTAGCCACCCTGAGCAGGGACCTACTTTGTGAAATCTATAAAACCAATAGGGGCAAACTGACAAGAGCGATCACCCATGGTCTGCGTTAGGAAAACACACCGTATTTTAGTATTTCACATGGTTTTATTACAAAACAAGCAACAAAACAGTTTTAGAAAATTATTTTTTGCTACATACCAATTCAGAGATCACATAAAATGAGCATGACAGTTCCCATGCACTCAGCTCAGGGCTTACAGCTAGTGCATTTCACAGCTGAAACATACTGGTTCAAAATAAAAATCATGCCACACCTTCCTAAGCAGTAGGAAAAGGGATGAACAGGTCAAACTCTACCTAGAATGAGTAACTGTAATTGACCACCGCAGGCAAAATCACAGAAAGGGAATAAGGGGAAAAATGACATTGGTAGAAAAAATTTAATAAACCTGTTCATTTCTGACATGTTCAAAGTTTATAAATGATGCTGATTTGGGAAATTTTATCTCCAAAATATTGTTACCTCCCTATGCCTATTTATCTGGTTCACAGCGAAAACAAACATCAAATCCCACTGATCCACTACTGAACCTGCTGTTTCTTTACTGGGTCCTTTAGCCTATGTCAGAGCAGTTATACTCAGGAAGGGGGAAAAATCTTTTGCTACTCAGGAAGGGGAAAAAATCTTTTGCTACAAGTGAACTACAAAGCTGGACCTTAAATCTACTCTTTCTCGTGGGAGTCTTCCAGCACCCTACCCAGAAACAGATATGTAATTCCAACATTTTGACCTGAGGTCAGTCTACTCAATGTTTGTTTATGATGTCCTACAGTATGCAAAAGGCCCAACTATATTGACCAACCATCAACTGACTTGAGATAGCAAATCCCTAAGCTTTCAATTAATAGTACATGGTAAATAGTTCAGCTTTAGGGAATACAACTTGAAATACTGTTACATCTAGTGGGTCAAGACACCATCAAAAGTCTTATAAAAACAGTACAACTCAGAGAAGTTTTTTATTCCATAACGAAAATGCAGTACCTTTTTTTTTTAGTTCCTTTATTTTTTTAAACTCTGATTTATTCCAGAGCCTATGCACTTAACTACTAACCTAATGCATCCCCATCCTATTTTTTCCATTTGGTTCCATTTTATATATTTGAAACCAAATGTTTTGCTTGTACATGTACCATCTTGGGCTCACAACTGTAGTGACATTAAAAGACTGTTATGTGAAACTGGCCAGAAGGTAAGAAATATGGACACACAAGGAATTCTGAAATAAGGTTTGGAAATGAGAATGCTTTTAGGATTCATTGAAGATAATTATATTTATCTGGTATTGGGACCACATTAACAATGGAATTCCCAAGTAATTGCCAACTAGAGTCCTTGTTTCCCCCCTATCATGATAATGCAATTTGGATTTATAAATACGTTTAACACATTCTCAAAAAAGACCATACCAAATAAGAAACATATCAGCTTATTATGATGACCAATTAATTTAGCAGTAGTAAATCTAGCAGAGAGTTTAATTTTAAAGAGAGAAGTGGAGATTTTTATTATATATATATATATATTTTTTTGGTACGTGCTCCTAGCAGGAACCGAACCCAGGACTCTCTGGTCCGCAGGCCGATGCTCCAACCGCTGAGCCAAACCGGCCAGGGCTATTTTTATCATTTAAACACCAAAAGATGGCAACTTTCCATGAGTTAGGGAATGTTTAAAGAGATCTCAGAAGTCCCTAATTTATTTTCATTAATTCAATATCATTGATTGAGCACCTTCTTTGACCTAGCCAAATAATTTTCTTGAGGAAAACTGGAAGATGAAGCCTAAGACAGAGAGCTTTAAGAATGTGAAATGACTTCTTTAAAGCAGACTCCTTGAAGTATGTTGTAACCTTGATCACTCACAAATAAATAATTCCCAAACCAAGGATTTCTAAGGAAAAAAGTATACAAGTCTGAAGAGAAGAGGGGAGAGGGGAGAGGGGAGGGGAGGGGAGGGGAGGGGAGGGGAGGGGAGGGGAGGGGATGAGGAGAGATCCAATAGTAGATTTCTTTATTTATTCCAGGACTACTAGGCCAAACAACTGAAATGAAGATTAGATCCATCACAGAGCAGTCAAGAATAGTTCTTAACATGACATGGACTTCAAGGAAACGATGGTTCTTGAAAGGAACATAAGATTTCCCTCAAGTCACTAAGGATTTTCTGATCACATCTTTTCGCCTCTGCACTCGATTTGGACATAGACAATGGAAGGGATTTATTTCAGTAAAAATGCTTCTCTGTGCCTCTTCTGCAAGTCATTAATTTTTTAATTTAAAGATATAATAAATTGATCTAGCTGATAAAAGTTATGGACAGAAATGAGTTATTGTTTCTCTCCCATTAGGGAATCCTGATAAGTTCCTGATGGCAGTTCACCATATAAGCTGGACAGACAGATCATCCCAGAAATAGTCTCTTTTTTGCCAAATGGAAGAAGGTACACTCTGAAATTTGGGTGGGGAATGCAATCTATGCTGTTCTACCTGAGACATCTCTAGTCAGCAATGCATTGCCTCTAAATTAATGTTTCTATGCAGTTTCTATTTTATTAAAAATATAAATATCTATCAACATTATCTTTGAATCTCTCTGCTCTTAAGTACGTAGAACCTCGTCAGATTACAAGATCGGATCATGCAAGTACATAAGGCTTCATTCAGAAAACAACACAAAGAATAGAAAGAAAGCAAATCTGCCAGAGTATACGATATGACAGCATGTAAACTTAGACTGCTATTGGCCTATTAAAAAAGAGCTGTGAGGCAAGGATTTAAGATAAACTGTCTTGGCTAAAACAGACCTTTCCTTCTGTCTGGAGAACATGGATCAAAACAACTCAGCTGGACGAACTCTAACCCATCTCTTCCCAGCACCTGCTTCAAAGCAAATCTAAAACTCTATAATAGAGATCTGATCTATCACACAAGTGGATTACCATACAAATATCAACCCTCCATACATTCCAACTAATACCATAGCAAGGGAAATGTCTGTTCTGTTCTCAACAGTCAAAACATTTAACACTGATAAACCCATCCTTGGGGCAGAACACAAAAACCGGGTGGGTAGGTCTGTCATTCACACTGACCGTATGTGGGGTCAAAGAACATCTAAACAAGAACGGGGTAATTCCCCAAATTGACTGATGCACTGAATGAATCATTCCCCATTCCTTACAAGAGGTCCCTATTTCTTCCTCTAAGGAGGTCCCGTGTGGGGGAGCTGCCCTGGTAGATCAGCCGCCAGATTTTAACACCTCCCCTCGGAATGAATCCCAGTCATGCAGAGCCTGGGTCTTCCACCATTCCTCCCTCCTTTCGGGTGGGTGAGTTACCACCTTCTACTTCACAGCCAAACTTCAACCAATGATAAAACCAGATGACTGACTGGTTCTGGCCTGTTTGGCTCAGCAGTTAGAGTGTTGGCCGGCTAACTGAAGGGTCTCGGGTTCAATTCCGGTCAAGGGCACATGCCTGGGTTGCAGGTTCGATCCCAGTCCCAGTGAGGGTCCTGTGGGAGGTAACCAATCAGTGTGTCTCTCTCAACATCAATCTCTCTCTCTCTCTCTCTCTCCCTCCCTCCCTCCCTCCCCCCCTTCCACTCTCTCTAAAAATCAATGGAAAAATATCCTATCCTTGGGGGAGGATCAACGAAAAAAAGTAAAGAAAAAAATAACAGATAACTGGCCTAAGAGTCTGTGCCTGTCCTGAAAACAAAGGGAAGGAACTAAAACTAGGACAAGGAAATAAAACTTGGTTAGGTACAAAATTGAACTTCCAACCTTCTCTCATCAGGACAACCTTGCAATAGCGGAATAAGAGGAAACCTGCTCTCCATTGAGCATGCCTAAAGGTCTAACCTAGTGATTTCCCCCAATTAAATACACTGCACTGACATTTTTTATTAAAGCCAGTTGGAGGGGTCCCTCCCACAAAGCATCCACAGGAATAGGAGTGGCAGGAAAGCTTCTGACTGTCCTCCAACAGACAGAGAAACTGAGTCATGGCCTCCTTTTCTTAAGTCCTCCCTATTCCTCCCTCCCTGGACATGATGCCTTATCACACATCAGAAGTCCGTATGTTCTCATCATCAAGGTTAAACATAAATGGTTTCTCCTTGGGATGCTGGGGCTCCGATCGGTGCCTTATCCGGGAGCCAGGCAATACCCCAGAAGTATTGCTCTCCCCAAGTCGAGACATGAACAAAGAGTCCTCAGGAGTCTCTTCAGCTGGATGTAGCTTTTCCCCGGCCTGGGGGACAGGTGTCCAGGGTTGCCAGGAGGAGGCCACAGAGGGGGCTTTGCAGAGGGCTTTTTTCTCTTCCACAGTTGGCCGTCCTCTGTAGAAGACAGAGTTGGGCCCACCCGAGAGGCTGGAGGTTCCAGAGCGAGTCAAAGAAATGGATCTTGAAAAGGACATTTCCTACAAAAATAAAAGGGGAAAAAAACAAACAAAGGAAAGTAAGGACTTGCCTGACAATATATATCCAAAGCCCCAGGAAAAGTACCCACCCAGGATCACCACCTCATGGGTCCAGAGACACTTGTCTACAGAAATCCAATACATTCAATGGGATTCACTCCAGACTTGTCAAGGTCTGCCTAACAGGAAGATGTGTAACATACCAGAAACTCTGTTTCTCCATCCAACCCTACCTCACCTCCTCTAACAACCCAAACTAAAAAATAAAAATGTGTACCCGTTAGTCAAAAGAGAAAACAAGACAGCCTGGAGCTTCGGTTGGGACCAGGCTGCCTGCCTATATCACCAAATAAAACCTGCTCACTCTAGGACAACCATGTCCAAGTTGACAGTGACTATATAACAGAAAGGAAGTGACTTACTCTGGGCTGGCACTTGAGGGCCTGGACAGCTGCCCTGATCTCCTTAATCCAGCTGTGCATGTCTTCTGGACTGTCCGCCTGCAAAACACCCACAGCACTTACACAAACATTTTGGGCACTATGATTTCAGCTTTCAAGTCTCTGACTCAGTTCTAAGTTCATGAAATCACACCATTAGAGCTGGAAGAATCTCAGAGATCATCTAGTCCAGTGGCTTCAGGCTTTTGAGGACATTTTTTCCCTGCAAAATCATATTTGACACTTCATAAATAAAACAGCTCAAAGTGGAGCTGATCTGCAGTGGGGCAGAGGTCATGAGGGAGGAGCGAGCTTAGAGGCCCATCCCCCATCCCTCACCCCCTTCTGGAACACAATTAGCCTGGTCCAGTTTTATAGGAAATGATTTCTAGAGAATAAAAATGAGGCCCAGAAAGTCATTTATGGTTGGTCCAGATTACAGTTCTCCTGTCTCCGAAAGGCTATCTTTCCATTACAGATATCTGAACAGAATAATCCCATTTTTAACTCCAGTCCCATTAAAGCCAAATCCTCTACAAAGCCTCCCAGATCTATATTATCTCCGAGCAGGGCTTCTCTCAAAGCACGAGCTACTTGGGTCTGTCTTGACTCTCCAACCAGGCCTTGGAGTTGCTAGACTTGGAGCACTAAGCTTAACATGTAGGAGGACACTGCTGAGCAGTTAAAAAATATTTTCTCCAGAAATACCTACCAAGCCCAGAAGGGGGCAGCAGCGGCTCTCTGAAGAAAGTAAGAAAATCTAGAGGCAAAGGCACAGCAGGTGGAGTACTGGGAGTTCTGTTTTCCAGCCTTATAGAGGCCCAGCTGAAGCAAACCCGCAAATGTTTACTGAGGCCTTACTCAATATCACACATGGCATCAAGGGCTGGGCACAGAGATGGGACAAAGACTGAATCCTTGACCTCCAGAAATGTATACTTGTTAATCCCTCTCTGTCCTTCTGGGCCTTCCCCAAATAGTTCCACCCAAAATAACAGGCATGGAAAAAAAAAAAATCACAAGCACGCATTTGCATGCCTGAGCATACATATATGCAAACACCACACCCAGACTGCAAAGTTCTCCACATACACCTCTCACTTTTCCCATCCCCAAAATGACTCTTTCTCTTTGTGTTATATCAAGATAATACATGATCTTCTTTTTTTAATCCTCAAACTTCCATCCCCACCCCTTTCTGTCACACCAAGCCAACCTTCCTTGGTTAGATATGTACAGGAGAAACTTGCAAGGGAAACGGTGTCACACCCTGCACACTGGGTCAAAAACATGTAGCTACAAGTGCCCGCAGGCAACAGCTCTCACATGTTAGAGCTGCAAATGTACCTGCACCCTCTCTCTCCTGGGCTTTTTCCAGTAATTTGACAACCTGGTGATTCCCCAAGAAAAAGACAAAGCCATCCCTAGTCCAAAAATATAACCAGGGCAAGAACTCCAACATTCTTCCAGAAGATATTTTACTAATATCAGAGCTAGCCTGTCTACAGATAGAACTATTGGGAGAATAAACTCTTGCAGGTAAAGCAATGTGAACAGTGTCTGATACACAGAAAGGGCTTTGTGTTGTGTGTGTGTGTGTGTGTGTGTGTGTGTGTGTGTCTTTTCTTTTATTTATTTATTTATTTATTTATTTATTTATTTATTTATTTTTTAATCCTCACCCTAGGAAATTTTTCCATTTTGTTGTTGTTGTTGTTCAGATAGAGATAGAGTGAGAGGAAGAGAGAGAGAGAGAGAAAGAAACATCAATGTGTGTGAAAGGGACACATCGAGTGGTTGCCAACCCGCACGACCCAACCAGGGCTGGGGACAAACTGCAACCGAGGTACATGCCCTTAGCAGGAACCGAACCCAGGTCTCTCTGGACCACAGACCGACACTCTAACCGCTGAGCCAAACCGGCCAGGGCCACAGAAAGGGCTTTATAAGTATTAGTTATTATTTTATTATTATTATTATTATTATTACTACTACATATGAAGGACACATATAAAGCCTTAAACTCCAACATTATAAATATGTTCACCACCCTCTATGAGACTTTTTTCCCCTCAATCTGCAGGCAATTCCTACCTAAAGAATCAAATAAGATAATATATTTGAATGAAAAGAAAGGTTGTTTTGAATTGGAATGAGATGGAGGTAATTAAATCGTCCAGTGGTAGAAAAGCATTTCTTAGAGACTTTCCTTTTGGGCAAGGAGAAGGTGATTTGATAGGGGAAACGTTAGAAGACAGAGGGGAAGAAGAATGGGAGCTGAGGAAGAGACATAGGTCTCCCACATCACACAGGGATCCAGGATTCTCACTGAGCAAGATCCCCATGCTGACCATCCAATAATTTGTTTCCAGGGCTGTTAAGCTACTTCCACTCCTTCCATCACCCTCGCAAACCCCACATTCATGGCAAATTTTACTCCCATAAGCCACAGGCCACTGTCTGATTGTCCTTTGAGACCTCACCAACAAACCCTCACATATTTTCTGGGAACTATCACACAACTAGCTTAGGTGTCTTCCACCCAGCCTCCACTTTGTAAGGAATCACTGAATCACAGAAATCTAGGAATCACCAGACTTAACATCTGAGGACTCAAGCACAAGAATCAAAATCCTCTAAAACACATTTTAATTGTTTTCAACTTTCTCTAATACAACCAATGCTACTATTCACACCTCTGTGCATAAAGCTTTCTCATACTACGATTCTCCAGCTCCCAGGGAAATTACTAGATAAAGAGTATGCAGCCCTGGCCGGTTTGGCTCAGCGGTTGGAGCGTCGGCCTGCAGTCCGGAGAGACCTGGGTTCAGTTCCCGCTAAGGGCATGTACCTCAGTTGCAGTTTGTCCCCGGCCCTGGTTGGTTGTGCGGGTGGCAGCCACTCGATGTGTCCCTTTCGCATCAATGTTCCTCTCTCTCCCTCCCACTCTACCTGAACAAAAAATGGAAAAATGTCCTCGGTTGAGGATGATAAAAAAAAAAAAAAAAAAAGAGTATGCAACCCTTTCAGGCTCTTACATTGGGCCAGAAGCGTTTCCGGCCAATTATACGAAAATTTCATTTGCCGACAATATATTATTTTTTTTACTTGCACCCTTGCTAGAACTAAATACTACAATTTTTTAAAATCTTTGCTAACATGATAGGCAAAATAATTAAATCTCTTTCTTAACATATTTAGTAATTAATAGAGATGGATATCATTGGCTAATTATATTTCTTCCCTAATTCTCTAATTCCATTTAAGGACATTTTTCTGTCAAATAATCTAAGTAGTTAACCCAGCCTTCTTAATGTTAATGTTAATAATAATAAACATCATTTAACATTATTTTAATGTTTAACTAATAAATATTATTTTAAAATATTATTCAAATAGAAAAGCAGATATTGTAACTGATCCCACGTGAGAAGAAATAGAATATTACTTTACTGAGATCACAATTACAGTCTCTATTAGTAATTTGAAGGCTGGGATCCACTGGCAACAAAAATTCAGTAAAACCTCAATAATTGTATGCAAAAAAAACATGATGTGTGTGTATCTATCTTTTAGGGAAAGCCTGTGCTTACCTTCATCAAGAATACCTTAAAACCATATCGCCCGGCCGGTGTGGCTCAGTGGTTGAGCGTCGACTCAGGCACCAAGAGGCCGCCCATTCATTTCCTGGTCGGGGCACATGCCCAGATTGTGGGCCAGATCCCCAGTCGGGGGCATGCAGGAGGTGGCCAGTCAATGTTCTCTCTCATCAATGTTCCTCTCTCTCTCTCTCTCTCTCTCTCTCTCTCTCTCTTTCTCCCTTCCCCTCTCTCTAAAAATCAATAAAGAAAAAAAAATTTTTTTAAAACCATATCACAAAGGTAACTGCATGAACTAGATAGAGATTAAAAAAAAAACAGAGCTGAAGTGGACTCACCCCATGGTGAATCGCTAAGACTGAAAAATGCTTAAAGAGGAGAACATCAAGAGAAATGCCAAAATCATGCCTTCATCCTTTCCTGGTGTGCTTAAACATGTGCATTTGTTTCTGGTGCTTGGTGCAAAAGAATAAGTAGGATTTCTGTCCCTGGGGGCAGCTTTTGAGGTAAGGGAAACAAAGACATGAAAATGAGTCACTGCAGTCTTTGTTTTATTGCAGTCCAGTGAGCTTTTCATGAATATCTACTATGAGCCCGGCATTACAACAGATGCAATGGTTTGAAGCAAGGAAGTCTAGAGGTCATCAATAAAAGGCTTCCAATATCTACTTGCGGTTACTTCCACTGCAGCCTTCTAAAATTTTTAGACAGCTCCTTCTTCATTCTATTCCCAACCTCTGCCCTCCCTTCCCAACAGCTAATAACCCTGCCCTCTCCCCCAAGAACCAGCCCATCTTTAGACATACACAGCCCTGCCACGTGACTGCATAGTTCATATACACTACAGAGTTCTGAGTGATGCATGCACCTTATAGTCTGCATTAAAACAATAAGTATCCAAAGAGTTCCAACCCAACACTCTGCAATTTACACGTGAGTCCTCTCAGTACTGCTCCTGACACAGTCTTCTAGTGCTGATGATGGGGTTTATGCCAAGTTACCAAATCCGGTCTGCACGACATTTCTCATTTTGAATAACGAATCCTCCTCTTGATAAGCCATCTAATACCCTTGACCTTCTATGATTGGGAAATGGGGAAATGGTGAATCTCATTTGCCTCGTATTCCAAAGACTATAATCTCAGTTTGAACCCGTATTCAGAAGTGAGAACCATCTACCTGCTGATGAGCTTGCTGACATCACAAGCTTCTATACCTGCTTACTGCCAGATTCTGGATCTTTGTCACCATGATCCATATGCCAAGACACCCAGCTACCCCAAGCTGATCTTCCCCAATTCAGAATCAGACTACCCTTTGCATCTTGGGTTCTGCACCAGGCTGCTTGCAAACAACACAAATGAGCAGGTCTTGTTCTAGCCTCTGGTGCCTCCAGATCACTTCCATAGCTCACCAGGTTTATAATCCCAAACAGTTTACCTTCAGACACTCCATTTCCTCATGGGCAAGATGGAGATGACCTCAGAAACTGCTGAGAATTAAGTATTATGCTGCCTATAAATTGCTTAGCATTGTGTCTAGGATATTGAAGTAGCCAGTAAATGGTAGCTTTTTATTAACACAAAAGAAATACTATAGATCACAGGGTACAGATTATATACATGCAACATAATGGTCAATGTGGCACAGAAGGCAGATGACCAACACCTAAGTAGCTGGAATCCGACCCATTCTGTTGCCCAAGTCTCTCTCTCTGTCTAAGGAGTTTATGTTCTCTGCATAGATCTCCCCTGCTCTCTGGTCTAGCTTACCTAGATACCGAGGATACACGGTTCTTTAAAGCAGGTTTACTGAGCATAAAACCTTCAGTAGATGAGAATGCCACTCTATCATGGTGGTAAAATTGCTGGCACCAAACTGAGCAGTCATTATATTCTTTCAGTTTTTTTCATGAAACACGATTTTTACTTGGAACAAATGACTGACAGACTGACTGACACACTGTCAGTTGAACTTATTCAGATTTAGGTGTATGATGAACTCTTTCTCAAATCTGAATGAAATGAGTCTGCTATGTCAGGAAGATCATGAAAGTGTTTTCCTGCACATGATGAATTTTGAGCTTTCAAGCAAAATTAGAATTTCCCCAAACTTATATCCACCTCCCTGAGTTTGACAGCTTTCCACACTTAAAAGATGTTGTTGATGATACTGCTGGTGATATTAACAAATGTGATTTTTTTAAACATTATATAATCAAATGTGTCAACATTTGGAAGATCCATATACCTAAGTAAGACCACGATTTTCCAAATGACCTATGCATGCAGTTACAAAATCATGCATTGGCATAAAGGATACACCCAAAGTGCAAAATTGACCAATGGATTTTAATGTAAGAATTTTAAAGTTTTTTCTTGACTTCTGATTCCACATTGTATCTAAACATGAAGAAACTAACTACTGTTTGTCAAGTTTTGGTACAGAATTAAAAAGGAATGTTCACAATTATCTGAAAAAGCTATTAAAATATTCCCTTTTTTCCAAATACATATCTGTGCGGGGCCAGATTTTCTTCATATTCTTCAATCAAAACAACATATGGCCCAGATAGAATGCAGAGGCAGATATGAGAATCCTGATGTCTTCTATGAAGCCAGCAGTTAGAGATTTGCAAAAACAAAAAACAATGCCACTCTGTGTTGCTTGTTTCAGAAATATAGTTCTTTTTCATAAAACGTTACTTGTCTTAACACAAATGAGTTTACAGTTGCTAGTTTAAAATAAATTAGTACATATTTTAATAGTTTTTAATCTCTACTCTTCTCTAACTTCCAATTCCTCTTTGAGTTAGGTGTGATAAACAGATTTGTCCATTCACTCATTGATTTGTTCAGGGTGATGCTAGTGTTCTTTTATCCCAGAAACGTGGGAGCAGAAGGCAAAGGAGGGTAGAAGCCATGAGAAGCTTCTGGTAAACATGCACACACTCATGCAGAAGAGGCAAAACCTTCTGATGGTAATTGTTGTTGTTGTTTTGGGAGTTCATGTTTCCCAAAGCTCTGTCCTAACTCTTTTTTTTTCTTTTTTTAGTACGTGACCCTAGTGGGAACCGAACTCGAAACTCTCTGGTCTGCAGGCCGACGCTCCAACCACTGAGCCAAACCGTCCAGTGCTCTGTCCTAACTCTTACCAAGCATAATCGTCCATTGACAAATATTATTTAGTAGCACCAATGTGTCAGACACAGTGCCTCCAAGGGCCTTCAGAACATGTCACCTTGGATGTCCCAGAGACAAGGTAAATTCAGAACCACCTCAGTGGGGCTGGCCTGTTTCCCACAGTCCCTCCACCCACGCTCCTCTCACAGTGATTGCTGCCACCCACTACCCTTGCTGCTCCTTTCTCCCTTCACCCCACATCCAACCGACAATCAAGTCCTAGAAAGGACCCTTTAATAGCTTTTACACTGTCCCCTTTTGTCCATCTACCCTAGTTCAGGCTTCCTTTTACCCCTCACCTAAATTCCAAGAGCCTCCAGCCTACCTCCTATGTTCACCCTGTTCTCATCCGCCCTCTACACTGTATCCAGCCAGTTCACAGCCAGCACGGGAACAGGGGCTGGAGTCAAGGCTCTCCCTCCACTTCACAGATGAGGAAAACAAGGCTCTGAAAGTGACAGCACTCGCTCAAGCGATATTTCCAGAAGATAGATCTGACTGGGTCACCCCCCTCCTTCCACCTCGAGGGGCCCTACCACTCAGCATAGGAGAAGCTCTTTAACAACGTACAAGCTCAGGGGCCCTGTGTATCTGCTTTCCAGCCTCTTGTATGCTCTGTGCTCCTTTTTTTTTTTTTAATCCTCACCCGAAAACATTTTCCCATTTTTTGTTCAGATAGAGTGGGAGGGAGAGAGAGAGAGAAAGAGAGAAACATCAACGTGAAAGGGACACATCGAGTGGCTGCCACCTACACAACCAACCAGGGCCGGGGACAAACTGCAACCGAGGTTCGTGGCCTTAGTGGGAACCGAACCTGGGTCTCTCTGGACCGCAGGCCAACGCTCTAACCGCTGAGCCAAACCGGCCAGGGCTGCTCTGTGCTTCATTTACACATGCGTCTCCTCTGCCTGGGCCACTCTTTCCCCAAATGACTCAGCTTAGATAACATGTTCCCTCTGGAAACTTCCCGACTCCCTGAAACTGGGGGAGATGCCGGACTCCGTCTAATGGTAGCACTCCTCACACTTTTGGTTTTGGTTTATTCCCCTATCCCCATGTGACGTAGTTTCACACTAGTGATACATTTAGCTTCTTTTGTCATATTCTGCATTCCATGCTGGGATCCCCTGACCTCCTAAATGCTTCCTGAGATTTGCATATATTAAGGTTTACACTTTGTGCCCTAAAGTTCCCTTTTATGCATCTATTGCAGTATCATACAGAATAGTTTCATTGCCCTAAAAACTCCCTGGTGTTCATCCATCCGACACCCCTCCCCCACCCCATCACGATGTTTTAATTGCTTCTGTACTTGACTCTATCTCTGTCCAGTTCAGACTCTGTTCTGTGTAAGCAGTGTCCCCAGCATGAGGCAAAATGCCCGGCATTCTGAAGATACTCTACAGATACCTGTTCACAGCCAGACCTGGAAGTGCTGTTGCTGCCCCTACAGTTTAAACTCTGTCCCTGCACGTCATGGAGCCATCTAACACCCCCAGCAACACTTTCTGCAGCTCCCCTCAGTCGCCTCTTCCAGGACGACAAGTGCTTGTCTGAATGAATGGAACCCACAAATGGTGAAGGCTGCCAGCGTGTCCGCTGGGCTCTGGCAGGGGGACCAGCTCAGAGAGGGGATGACTAGAGCTGATGCCCAACAACTGGGGGCGGGGTGACCCTGTGCAAAGGAGAGTGACACTGGAAACAAAGAGGAAAGGGCACTGGGAACCCTGGAAAGTGTTGGTTGAGGAGCCCCCCCATTTAAACCAACACGCGACATGACAGTCTGAATGCTAGAAATGCTAGAAATGATGCTGCGTGAATCAAGGCACGGACTGGGCTAAGGCCTTGGCCCTGAAAGTCTAGGCCCTGCTTGGAAATCCGCCTTTTTAGCGCCTATGATTTTAGGAGTTGGGAGAGCTCCAAGGCTGTGGGTGGAGGAGAGAAACCTCTGGTAGCTGAAGGGTCAGAGTCCAAACAATGGCTTTCTCTGTGCAGCTGGGCTTTGCACCTGGTGCCTGCACACGGGCCTCTGTGCTTTTGTCCTTCCGCACATGGCGATGACCGCACACGGGCGGAGCTTATAAATACCCTGTGAAGGAGAAGTGAAACCACCGACCAGTTCTCCTTTTCTCTGCTTAGCTGGCGCCCAGCAGCTGAGAGCAGCTGGCCCACACTCACGTTCCCCAGCACAGTGCTCAGCCTGCTCTTATTCTTTTATGGTTGGGGAGCTTTTGGCAAACATCCTGTTTAGGATAAAATGGGACTCAGACTGACTTTCAGGGGCTAAATTTACCAACTAGAAACTTAATAAAATAAAATAAAAGAGAAAGCCCAGGGAAGGGCAAGGTCCAGGGGTATAGCATCACAGAAATGGAACATGGGCGTCTTCTTGGAGTGAGCATTTTACCTGTACGTAGAAGGTCCTGGAGCTTGTAATGATTTCAAACAGGTTGTCCCTCATTAAGAGATCACTAAACAAAGAAAAAGAAAGTTACCACGCATTGAGGACTTGAACTGTCCTAAGTCGAGGCACCAGCACCCTCCACCATGAAAAGGGGCTCCCGTGCATTCCTCCCTCAGCCCCCGCCTCAAAAACATTACAGCTTTCCTTTAACTTCACTCCTTAGAGAACCTCAGGAGGTTTGGACATCCCCTTGGAATTCCCCCCACCCCCCACCCCGCCCAACACACACACACACACACACATCACCACCACCACCAGGTCTAACAAGATAAAGCTCTTTCCCTCTGAAACCTGCAAATATCTACCACACTGCACACAACTTACAGTTGGGGCTGTTTGTTTTAGTGGCTAAGTTGTACAATATGCTCTGTGCAAAGCACTGTTTTATGTGCTTTTTAAAAAGAATCAAGTAGATAAAAATTTTATTTTATATAGAGACATAGATATCTATATCTATACATATGTCTATATAAATAGCAAGAGAAAGAGAGAGTTGACATATAACATTATATTATGGTCAGGTGTACAATGTAATAATTTGATATTTGTATATATTACAAAATGACCACCACAATAAATCTAGTTAACATCCATCACCATATATAGTTAGAATATTTTTCTTGCGATGAGCCCTCTTAAGATCTACTTTCTTAGCAACTTTCAAGTATATAATAGTGTACTGTTAACTACAGTCTCCACACTGTATATTACATCCCCGGAACATATTTATTTTGTAACTGGATGTTTGTACCTTTGAACCCCCTATACCCATTTCACCCACCCCAACTCCCCACCTCTGGCAACCACCAATCTAGGTAAACCCAGGCTCAGAGAAATTACATGACTTGCCCATGATACTGGAGTTAGTAAATGACAGAGTCAGGATTTGAACCCAGGTCTGACTCCATAGTCTATGCTTTAATTACTCCACTGTGTGCCTCTCCTAAGGGAACCAAATCTGTCATTTCCAAACCCTTCCTCCACCCAAGCTGCAACCCATCAGCTTCATTAAATTCGTGCTCTGTGCCTCATTACACTGGGCTGAGGGACTGAACACTAAAGAGCAGAAAAGGAAGGGGAGAGTAGATGACTTTAAGATGTTTCAAATTGGGTGCGAGTTTGGGAAGAGGGATCTTGACTTCTGCAAAGTAGGCAAGAAGTAGCTGATGCTCAGTGACAAACCTCAAGTCGAGTAAATTGATTTTACCACATTAAACGTATGTGTATCCAGTCACAGTGGGGGGCATATGGTAGGAGTGAAAGAATTAATTCCCTCCCAATTAAAAAACTAAAAATAATAATACAAGACCATGTCATCTGGTGTTAGATCGTGTGCTGTATGCTAAGAGTTAGAATAATTCCAAGGAAAGACTGATCACAGGTGGAGCTGACTTCTCGGATGAAGACTTGAAAGGAAATGGCAGGTGCTGGGCCACCGGCATGGGCCCCGGGCAGAGGGGCATCAGACTAAAGAGCCACATAAAAAGAGACAGACAGTAAGACAGGGGTTAGATGGACCTGAGGCCAAATTCTGACTCCACCTTGGGAAAAGGTATTTGGGGCATATTTTTAAAACTCCCTGAGCCTTTGTACCCTAACTGTAAAACAGACGAGAAGACCTCCTTTATCAGACTGGTAACCATAAAGATCAGTTATAAGGTATTTGGCACAATGCTGTTATTCAATGGACACCTGAAACACATTTCACCATTATTCTCACTGCCGGAGTTTCTGAGTGGAGACGGCTCTGCTTTCTAGCTAACGGGCCTTAACCTTTGAAACTATTCTCGCACACAGAATGTAATCATGGACCACTACTGAGGAGGTGAAAGCAAAGCAGGAACGCCCACCCTCTTCACTTCTACAGCTCAGGCTATGTTCTGCCTTTCCATTCAATTCAACAAATGTTGGTTCCCGACCCAGATGCCCGAAGGCCCCTGGGCTGGCTTGGTGGGAGGACACAGTCTCCTAGGCCTGGGATCTCCAGAGGTTTGGGGACTTCCTTCCCCAGCATCTTCAACCCCTGATTCTGTTCAGAGTTCAGTCTGACTCTGACAGTCAGAGATTTATTCGAAATGTGAACCTTATCTGGGTTCTCCGAGTTGCCCCAACATGCCCACGTGGTCACATGTCTATCCCGTACAGGCCCTCTAAGGTCGGGAACCATCTCCGAGGACCTGGTCACCCCTGAGCTTTCCTGTGCCCACTACCAACCTCTGGAACCAAACTTCTGGGACTCCCATCTCTAGCTCCTTTCACAAATGAGACTGTTACTGGGCACTTCCCAAATCTTCCATGGTCCGCAGCTGCCCGGGGCAGGACTCAGTGCAGTGCTCAGTCCCTGCTTCCCTGGGTCACATAGCCCTTTGCTTTCTCGCGAGACCTGGCCATGCCTTCATTCCGGAGCAGCCTGCCTGCTGCTAAGAGCTTCCTGACGACGCTGGCTCTGCAAACCCCATCCACGGGATGGACAGACCGCCCTCCAGTCCCTGAAGACTGCAGATTCAGGGCCCAAATGAGGATTTCTAGGTGTCCAGATGCCCTTGGACTTCGAAAGCTTAGTTGCAGGAGCATTTTTTGGTGTTGGATATGGGAGAGCCTTTACCTACGGGCCCCAGGTCCAAAATCATCCTATGCACCATGACACTTGGAAGGTAACCATTTCTTAGTAGAAACAGGAACACATTAAAAATACTTCTTCATGCCAGTAGGAGTAACAGAGCTGCTGTGAGTCACCCTTGTGTGAAGGGGATATCAGGACTTTTTCAAAGGGGGAGAAGAGAAAAGGCCTAAGAAACTCAGGGAGGAGGCCCTGGCATAAGCAGTGATCTGATGAGAGTGCTGCCAAGTGAGTGACTAGGGGCACAGTCCCCCTCTGAGCCCGCCTGTGGAAAGAGCCTCTACCTCATCTCTGTGGCTCTTCTTTGTTCCTACACTCTTTCTTCTTCTCCATCAGAAAAGTACTACACAGGCTCATCTTCTCAGGAGCAGGAGTACAGCAGTGGGCAGAGGGTACGTTAGCCCGTGTGACCTCACAGCCCCGTCGGCTAGGATGTGGTGACTCAGCCACAAGACCTCGGGCCCCAGCCCTTGCTCTTAGAAGAAGACTCTTGAACAAGAGCCACAGAAGGCTGGTAAATGAAGATATCGGAGGGCAAATGGGAGTTTTGAGCAGAAAAAAATAAGCAGAGACAGTTACCCAGATTTGACCAGACACTCATGGGTCTTGAGAACATCCTTGAGAGGTATCGTGCGCAGTGGTTCTCGGTCCTGCGGGATAAATGGAGAGATAGGTAAACGAGGCTGTCCACATAATGCCAAGGCCCAGAGCAGCCAACTGACGCGCTTCTCCCGTCAGAGGTGGTCGGCTAAAACCAGGCTGCAAACGAGGCGAGGTCTCTAATTAATCAAGAGAGGAAAAAAATCTAAGAAAATGCTCTGTGGCTCTGGCCACATGACAGCTTGAAGCACAGGAGGAAGGAAGTCCGGGCCACTGTAATAGCACTGTAATGATGAGCACACAGGATGGATGGAGATAAGACATGGGCACCTCTGAAGTCTGTGTGCGCCCATGCAAACACACACACACACACACACGGGGTTACTCATGTTCCCCTTCCGTCCATGACCTCTCAGAGGGCCCAGAGTACCTACAAACCTGCTCACACTTGAAGTAGCAAATGGTAAAGTCATCGAGTGCAAAGAAGCGACGTTTCCAGCTCTTCCGCTGAAATAAAACATAAAGAGCAGGACATCAGGAAGAGGTCCCAGCATTCCGGAGGGTGCTCTAATTCTAAGCTCCCAGGGACGCAGCCGGGCTCCTAGGTTCAGTGGGGGCAAAAACTTCTTCCTATCAGGGCAACGCCTCTGACTTGTGGAGGCGAATGGTCCCAAGCCTCTCGGGGTTTGGGTGGTGGCACGGAGGACTGCGGCTCCTCCTTCCAGACTGCTCTCCCCACTGCTACACCTATACCCACCAGCTCCGGAGAGTCACAGAACCCACTCCGGCCCCAGTGCTGACACTCACCACATTCCCTTGCTTCACACAGTAGCCGCTCTTGATGAGGGGGGGCCCAGTGGACACACGGCAGCCTGTCGTGGGGATGTAACTCTGAGACCTTCGAAGGATGGCGTGGGGCCCTGGCTCACTCCCTTCCTGCCCATCCCCACCATTCTACAAGGAAACAGTGTCAGGGTTAGCACCGCCGACTGATCCTTACGCAGCCTTACCCCCTGCCCCACCCAGCTCCCTCTGGCCGAGTCATCTCTTGCTTCTTTGCCCACGAAGACAGTCAAAGAACTAAACATCAAAATAAACATTTTCTTTGCTACCATTGGGCACTGTACTGAGTGCTTTCACAGAAAAAGGCTCAGGAAGATTGGGCGGACCCAGGAGGGAGGGCAGGACAGAGAAGACAAACCAAAGGAGCGAGGAAGCCCCACGGGCCTTCCTCAGCCCCACTCCTCATGGGGTTTACATGTGCGCGTCCAAAACCATCCTGGCCACACAGCTGCAAGCTACAGGGGCCTCAATTTCTGCACTGCCATTACTCACCTCCACCAGGCGCTGCATTCTCTCACCCACCCCACCTGCACGGCTCCGCCTCTCCCATCCCCCTCCTCAGTACAGTCCTCTGTGCGCACGGGCACACCATGGGCACTACGACCCCCACCACCCCTCACAGCCCCAGGCCCCAGCACCTGGTTGATGGGCGTGTGCACCACCACCCCTCCGATGATCTCTGTCTTGTAGGCCACCTGTGGCTTCTTCTCCAAGGCAGGAGGAACGGCTAGGCTTTTGAGAACTTCAGTCGTCAGTGGCAGGTTCCCAACTTTGGGTACCTGAGAAGAACGATGGCATTGCGGTCAACGGAGCAGGAACGTAGGGAGAGCAGGGAGTTAAAAACAGGAGAGAGAGGGGTACGAACAGCTAATGTACTGAGTTATAGTAAGACACCCCTCTCCTCCCAGGTCTTCCACTGACCCATAACTCAAAATGAAGAACTCTGCCAGCAACTCCTGCCACACATACACACACACACACACACACACACACACGTGTACACACTTACTCATCAAGTGTACTGAGCACCTACTGTGAGCCAGTCCTTCCCTGGCGAGAGACTAAAGATAAAACAGCAAATTTAGACACGTCTGCCCTCATAGCACATGCACACTCGTAGGGGAGACAGACAAACCTGCACAGCAAAACAATCAGAATGATCACGAACAGTGGCGAGTGAGCAGGCTGAGCTAGACAGCAGCAGGGGACTGCTTGAAAGGGGGTGATTGGCGGGGGTCTCCAGAGGAAGAGACGTGCTCAGTGACCCGGAGGGTGGAAGGAACAGAAACGTGAAGCAGAGGAAAGCGTGCAGGCAGGGGGACAGGGGACATGCATGTGGTGGCGGGTACAGAACTTGGGAGCGTGAACTTTGGAGCCCAAGGGCCTGGGGTGTAATCCCTGATCTGTCACTAACTAACTGAGTAACCTCTGAATCTCTCTGGGACTACACTGTCTCCTGTGTAAAATGGAACGTGAAATAACATTTATGTCATAGGGTTGTTGTGGTTAGCAAATGATAGCACATATACATTTTAAAACTTTAGAAATATAAATGTAGCTCTGGCCGGTTTGGATCAGTGGTTAAAACATTGGTCGACAAACCAAAGAGCCGAAGGTTCAGTTCCAGGTCAAGGGCACATACCTCGGTTGTGGGTTCAATCCCCGGCCCCAGGAGGGGTCGTGCAGGAGACAACCAATCTGATGTGTCTCTCTCACATTGATGTCTCTCTCTCTCTTTCTCTCTCTATTCTCTCTCTCCCCACCCCTCCCTTCCTCCCACTCTATAAACAACAACAACAGAAACCAATGGAGAAACATCCTTGGGTGAAAATTAAGAAGTATTACAAATTATGTTTAATTAACATTTCACAAAAGGTACTAACATTTACAAACACAGTCCTTTCTGAAGAGTGACTTATCTTTGTTCCTCGCCATGGCTGATCAATCACAGAACCTTCATGGTTAGTTTGAGACCACAGGCCACACACTGCAAACTGGCCCAAAGGCAGACGTGGCCCAAACTGTTTTGTTTGTCCTACGAAGTACAGTTTCAATCTACATTTAAACTTTGGGATACTTCACATAAAAATTTGCAGCCTAGCCGCAGCTCACTCTTTGGAGGGGATACATTCTGCAGTTCGCACCAGCTCTAGCATCCCCCCACACCTAGGCCACAGGCAGGTGGCATTTATCCTCATTTATGTTGTTTTTCTTTCTCCTTGTCCACTTAACTTGCTTATATCAGAGTCTGCAAACTGAAAAAATCTTTCATTTTATAAGAGAAAGAGAGAGGCCCAGGACAGCCATGTCATTTGGCCAAAGCCATGACTAATAACTAAACAGAGACCAAACCCTGACTTCCAGCATCACAGAGCCTCCCGTTCACAAGAACTCAGCGTCCTACGTGGCTCTGCCAGGAAACTAACTACAGATCACGTGAGAAAAGTTCACATCCCCTCTACTTCTTCTACAGCCTACGGTGTCAGAGAGACCCAAGAATCTAGGCCCTTCAAGAGCTCACAGCTCAGGGGACCGAGGACCACTCCATCTGGTGTCCATTCAAAGGAGTAAAGCAAAGCCACTGTGATTGTACTGGGGCCCCCAAAAGATGAGACCCCTCTTTCTTGCCTGAAAACTCAGGTAAGGGTGACCTCTGCCCACCACCGATCAGACTGGGCCAGAAACCAACCCTGTCTTTTCCTTCTGGCTGTCAAGAAAATGGCAGTTCCCACTTGCTCTGGGCTTCCATTCAGTGCCAAGCTATCAGCTGAACTCTTTACTGCATTACCCCTAATCTCAAGCAATCTTATCAAGTAGGCATTATTTCCTCATTTTATAGATGAGGTAAACAAAAGCTCATTAAAATGAAGTAATTTGCCCAAGGACTGCCTGACTCCTCAGTGCTAACTACACCTACCTACCTTTCTACCACCCTTTCTAACTCTCTCTGAGTTCTGCTATTGTGAGATAAACTTCCTTGGGAATGCTTTAGGATTACCGCTGGGGTGTTTAGTGATATAATCACCATGGGACAACAGAAATTCTCCCCAAATGAATTCCTGAAATCCAGCAAAGAAATAGTGACATCACCTTTGAGTTCAAAGCGGCCAAAAGAAAAAAAAAGGCCTCCTAGAAGCTTGGCCGTTGTGTTGCCTCCAGAATCCCGTCATCCACCCAGAAAACAGAGAACTGCTGGCCGTCGCTGCTCACACCCCTGCAGCACGGGCTGCTCCCGACCAGCCTCCCAGAGCCTTCCTAAAACTGCAACCCTTCCAAAGATTTTGAATCAGCCTGTGAAGGAAAAACTCAACAAAAACTATGCTCCAAGCTCAAAAACAAGGTCATCCTTTGGGTGTGTCCATATCCCAGAGGCCTACCTGAAGGTGAGCCCTCGCCATCCACCTGTGGCATGTTCTCTGAGGCTGCAGGGCCACGTGGATCTCATTCTCATCGTGGAATGAAACTTGCAAGGACTCCTCTGTCTTCTCACCAGGCTGGGACAGACTGCTGTGAGGGATAACCCAGCATGGGGCATGGGGAGGGGTGGGTGCTTCCTGCATACAGCTTCATTTTCAACTCTTTTGTCAAAATGGCCCTGGCCGGTTTGGCTTAGTGGTTGGAGCATCAGCCGGAGGACCAGAGAGTCCCGGGTTCAGTTCCCGCTAGGGGCACATCGCCCCCCAAAAAATGTACAGAGTTCAATCATGTCCCCCCATAACCTCAGAATGTGACCTTACTTGGAAAGAGGGTCTTTGCACATGGAATTACACGTTAAATTAAGATGAGGTCATACTGATTTAGAATGGGCCCCAAGGCCTATGACTGATGTCCTTATAAGAACAGAAGCGGTCACACAGACACAACGGCCATGCAATGATGGAGGCGCAAACGGAATGATGCAGCTACAAGGCACGGACACCACGCTGGAGGACGCGAGGTTTCTCCCCTAGAGCCTTCAGAGGGAACACAGCCCTGCCTACACCTTGGTTTTGGACTCCTAGCCCCCCGCACTGCGAGAGGATACATTTCTATTGTTTTAAGCCACCCCGTTTGTTACAGCAGCCCTAGAAGAAAATACGGACATGCTAATCCTGAGAGCCCAATTCTGTAAACACCTCATGTTGATCATTTTCTTCAGTCGTTAGGACTTAATGACTTTAGCATAATATGAACAGTAACCTGTGGGCAGAAGAACTGGATCTATCCTGGCTCCATAACCTTGGGCAAGTCACTTTGCTTTCCTCATTTATAAACAGGAACAGTAACACTTGCCCTTCCTACTTAAGGTTTTTACAAGGAAAAAATGGAACCATGTAGGTAAAAGTGGTGAGTAAGCTACATATTTTAACACTGTTGCTTATTTTTAATATTTTTATAAAATCCTGGGTCTTGGGAGCCAGAGTCCTGGGGTTTGAAACCCCTCTTTACCTCTTACTAACCTCTAGAATTTGGGCAAGACTCTGATTCCCATTTTCCTCATCGAAAAAATGACAACGAAACCACCTTCCTCACGACAGTGAGGGGTGATGTGCTCCATACATCATCTGTTCCTCTGCATTGCACGAGGCGCCTAATTCCTTACTTTGCACATAAGGTGCCTTAAAATAAATATGCATGTCATGCATATGTGTCCCAGCCCCACATCTACCCCTCACCCTCGCCTCCCAAAGGAAGGTCACACCATGTAAGATGGCGCGGAAGTGGAGAAAGAAGTAAACCATTCCAGGACACAAAAGGATTAGGAGGATGTAGCGTGCCCCTCCTCGACCTTCTATCCCCCAGGATCTTTGGCAGGAGAAGTAAAGAGATGTATTAACGGAACAAGGAAAGTGAGGGGGTCCTGGAGATTGTGAAGACCCCGAAGAAGGTTCTGGACTCCCAGCTTCTGGGCACCAACATGCTCTTCCCACTCCTGCAGCCTGTAACTTCTGCTCCGTGGGGCCAGAAAAGAACAGGGGAACTGGCTGATTCGATCAACTCTGTGTTCCAGTCACAAAAGAACAGGAAAGAGGTTCTCTGCTGTCTCGCACGCTGTGTAACCCAGTTCACTGGGAGGAACAGAGGAGGAGGAAACCCAGGAGGAAAGGCTGAACGAAGATTAAGTACTAGACAGTGAAAGAAATTCCCACACCGTGGAAGGTGAAGATCCCAATACGAATAAGAAAACTTTTACCAAAATCAGTGCTCTAGAGCCAGGTACAAAGCGGATGGGTGAGCAGACACGGGGGTTAGCAGCAACCTCCTCCCTTTTGCTCTGTTTGCATGGGTTTTCCAAAGCTCATCGGAATAACAAGCTAACAGGCAAAACTGCTTCAATGAATGGGACTCTGCTTGGGTCAAGCCTCACAAGTGCTGGACAGGTGTGGATTTCTTTCATTAATTTACTCCCAGGAAGCCTGATGTATCTGGAGAAAGATCTGCCCCAGCATATAATGGTTATTATTGTAAGTCCCTGGAATGCAAGCATTTCGAACTGTAGGACACAGAAAATCCAACTTTTCAGCATACAAATCATGTTTACTATGCCCCAAGTCTGTCTCGATTACTGGTTAAAGGTCTAGTTTTTTCCCAAAACATGTAGTTTTCCCTCTCCTCCTGCCTACCCGGCTCTCTTTCTTTTTCTGTATTTCCAAGGAAGAAAGGAGTTCTTCAGCATCAAGTCAAGGAACATGAGAGTACTCGCAGACCAGTCAGCGCACAAGTTCAGTGATGCCTTTAAACTAAATGTTTTTGCAGGACGGGCTGGTGGATGGCCTGGAGGGATCCCCCCAGGCTACCTATAAAAGCAAGAGGAGCACTCCAAGCCAGAACAAAGCTCTGACTTCCCTCCTCATGCTTTTCCCTTTACTTCTCTCGCTCAGCAGTGCATTTTCAAATCCCACCACCTTCTGAATCAGCATTACCCAAAACAACTGACCAGAGCCCTTCCAGGAAGCACAGCAGACACGCCATGAACTTCCCCTTGAACTTGATTCAAACTCAAACTATCTGTTCAACTTGCGGTCAGCCAAGGTGTAAGAAAAGGTAGGGGAACTGGGTCTGGGACAGGTTCTGGGTTGGTTCTGGGAAAGCCCCTGCTGCCACTGGGATCCCCTCTGCCCCCCAAAGAGACCACGTGTGGAGAGAGGAGTGGACCGCTCCGGAAAGGAGAAGAAACCATACGTACAGTGATTTTGCTGGCTTGATTCAGGGCTTCGACCCAGTCCTTCAGATCTTTCTGGTCATTGGCTTGAAGAAAATACCTCTGAGAGAGAGCATTGATGACTGCAGAAGTCATGGGAAAGAAGGGAGAAAAATCAAAGTCAGAACAAATATAACACAGAGACCCCACAGAACTAAGGAGTTTGAAGTAGCAAGGTGGAGGAGCCCACAGAGGAAGACTTTTCCCATGCCGTGAAGGCACCTGCATGAATATTTGGGAGGCAGCAGGCTACATGCCATCTCTTTAAGAGTGTGGATTATTCCACTGGCCACAAGAATGACACTTGACATCGACAACAACCTTCACATGCTATTGTGCAGTAATGAGGCTACTAGTCTGCCATCAACCAGACACACGCTTGAACTGTTTTTTACAGGTGCCAACAGACTTACACTCATGATGATACATTTATAATTTTGGCCCCAGGGCCCCTTGTTTCCACTGGCACAACTTGCCTGGGTTAGGAGTCATGTCTGTGGTTGGAAAATGGAACAAAGTTTGCCTGAAATCAAATAATCAGATCTGTGACCTTGATCTCATTTTCAACCTATTCTTTCCTCTGAGCACACCATTAGGTTCACAATTTACTTCTGGGTTCATAATTTTTAAAAAATAGATCTGCGGACCACCAAATCTGAGAGCATCATTTTTGAGCTTGGCAAGGATACTAAAAAGTAATGGAAGACTGAGAACACCAAAGAAACTTGAACCAACCTGCTGTTGGGAGAGAGGACAACTCAAGGGACCATTTTATCTTCCTAGCATAAAAAAGCCTGAACTATTTAAGAGGTGAGAATCACGGGACACAGAATTCATCAGCTCATTTATTTATTCAACAAATATTTATCGAGCACCTACTATGTGCCAGAAACACTCTCCATGCTGAGGATACAGCAAATGACAAAGCAGAGGAAGACCCCCGCCTTCATGAGCTTATGTTCAGAATCACCCTAGACAGACAACAGAAACATTTGCTTGTAGCACTTAGTACAGTCCTGAGAACACAGTGGGCGCCAAATAAATACTGAATATTCAGTGACTTCAGGCATCAACAGAGCGGCTCTGCTTCTTGTGTCACCCCAACACTGTCACTCTTTGGGCAATACTGAGACCCTCGACAGAATACTCCTTTTCTCTTATCCCCACAACTTTCCCAAATCTCCACCTTTCCTGAGTACACCACTAGTGAGGTCTGAATCGAAGGTTCCTAGAAACTTCTGGTAAATATCTTGCACCCCACCCTGCAGAGTCAGAAAAATGTGCAACACCACTGAACCTCTGTCTTAGGTGATTGATCATCTTTGGGGTGAGACCAAGGAAAACAACATCACTTGAGAGCCAGGAACATCGCTGTGACTGAAGTCACTCTCACATACAGGATTTAAGTCACATGTGATCACCAGACCAGCTCCATGCCAAAGAGGAAGTTGGTGTAGGGGTGTGCAGAAAACCCATCTTCTGGCTCAGTACTTACCAAAGCAAAACGGAGTCTTTGGTTTCTGCTTTGGGGTGGCTATGCTCACCTACATCAAATAAAAAATAAAAGAAACATAACTATGTTTCTAACAGCGTTAGAAATTTTCTCCCCAATTTTTTTTGGTGAGACTTTTCTTACAAAAAGCATCTTATATAAAAATGTGTGAACACTTTAAAAATAATAATCACGTGGAAACCCTGTACTCACCATCCAGATTAAGAAATAGGACATTATCAGCCCTATTTCTCAGAAGTCCTTTGTGTGCCCCTCCTGGATAGAGTCCCGTTCCCACCCCTCGGAGATAACCACTATCTTGATGTCAGTGTTGATTTGTATCTTTGCAAAAACATTTTTAAAAGCCATGGACTCCTGACAAAATTAGTTTTGGACCACAAAACCTGTACAGGCCCTACTCACACTAGCAAGATTCCACTACTCTCTCAACCACCAAGGCCCCTGCCTAAAAAGTTCTCCAAATTGAAGGTGGTATTGTCACAAACACATGGACTTTGATTAGAGCTCACAGAAAGATGAGGAAGAATGTCACTCACTGCTTTTGGACACACTGATAGATTTCCTCTATATCTACCCCGATTGCTTAAACATGAAACACACGCTTTTCACAGGGCCCAAGAAGGTCCAGTGGAATCGCTTTACCATGTATGTTAAAAAAAAAAAAGGGCATAAGATAGTAGAAATCTTTCTATACATCCTGGTGTTTGATTTCATCTTGCTTTTCAATCCTACCCTCGGCATGTATATTCCTGAGCATGTGCCTATTTGAACCTGACTGAGGTTCAAATACCCTGAACGAATAAAGGAAAGAAACTCATATTCCAGCAAATGCACACAAAGATTAGGCGACTACCCTTGATGGAGGCTGGGCCTCCCTGGAGCAGGCCTCCACCACTGCACCTGGGTTTTCTAAAGGGCCAGCCACCTTCCTCCAAGGACTATAACATAGTTACCATCCTTCTGTGGACACCATTCCTTCATCCCCTTTCCAGCGAAGGATATTCTCCTACTTGTTCTTACGAGGGGGGCTCCAGGAGTAGTTCTTGCTCTAACAGAAAGCATGAAGCCAGAAGCTCAAGAAAAATTTCCCGTCAAAATTAAGCTCTCGTATTGGCTCACAGTTGCTAAGGGTCCGATAATGACTCACCCCAGTCTGTCTGGATTCTCACTCTTGACTCTAAGTTCTTTCTACAGACCTGCCCAGATTCCTTGACAACCAAAATTAACCCTGTCCTGAACACTCAGTGTGGGAACTGAGGTGGCGGCCTATCAGAGGAAAAGCAGGCAGGACAGGACCAGGGCTCAAATCCCAGGCCTCCCAGCTGCGTGCCGCCCACTTCCTGTCCCATCCAACATGTATAAGATCACGTTCTCATAGGGCAATTGTGAGGATTAAATGTGATAGTGCAGATGAGGAACTTACCTCATCCTGTCATATAGAAGCTGCTCAATAAAGGAGAGACTATTGCTTTGGATACCTCATCTCCTTTAAAATCCCATTCTACATTATTAACACATGCAGTGCCATGACTGGCACTTCAGCAAAATGCTGAGAACCTTGGGAGCTTCTCAGGGCCTACAAAACAAATGTATGAGACCTGAAAAAGAATGCCTGGCCTCCAACATACAAAATGAATGTGGCATACTCCACATTAGTCAATATTCAATTAAATGTCTGTATGACATCGTAACAACCTCAGTGACAAGGGTTTAATTAAATGCCTACAAGGTGTCACATTAAGTCAACTTCATTAATGTTTCATTTAAACATTCACAAAAAGTTCATTACAGTCAAAATCCTTAGCAGTTTGATTTCCTTAGTTCACAGGAATACTTGGATGTAAAAGATGATTGCCAGTAAATTAGAGCCAATCAAAAATTAAATGAGTTACTCACAGCCAAATTATTCTAAAAGGAAAATGATTAAAATTACTTCAAATATTTTACAGCCAAGCAATTACAGTGAATGAGAACTGTAGGTGTGTTCTGATATGTTTACCATGCTGTGAGGTAGAGGCCATAGGGCCTAAGAAAGTCTTTAAAGAGTCCTGAAAAACCTGAAGATTTGCTAAAGGTGAACCCACATGTCCTGAGTTCAGACACCGACTATTCAAATTCAGGCCTGTGTTCACCACTCCCAGGAACCGTGTCCTGGAGCTCTGTGACGTCACAGTCCTGGCCTCCGTGCTATTCTGTTTTCCTGGGTTTGGGACCCCAGAGGTCAATCTCAACCACAGTGTGTGTCTTTATCCTTCTCGAGTCTGATGTTCTGATCTGTCAGCCACTCATGTTCCTGCTCTGTCCCTCAGCATGTGTGTTCCTGGGAGTCCTGGTGCCCAGGTGTCCTACTCTTTGTTCCTGTATAAACCTGACCGTCATAGAGCTGCCTATGCCATCCTGACCTTAAGAACCCACCTCTCTCATGGTATCCCTTCTACTTGAGGCTTTGGAATGGCAATGACAAGCTAGGAACTTCGAAACCTTCTTCAGCCTATGAGGGGACTCTTGCTCCCAGAAACAGACATTGACTAGAAAGAGCATCACTAGTAGACACTTTTCACCCTGGTTGAATGACAAATGGTCCACTTTGACCACAACGTATTACCAACCTATATTGCAAGAATGCCACCCCTGTGCTCATTGTGGGAACAGGTGCTTTCGAAGAGATGGCCTGTTCCATTCGTCTGTTTTCTCTGTTCTCCAGTTTGCAGTCAGGGGCACGTGTGATTACAAGCATGCACACCTGTAATTTGCATCATGCCTCATGCCTCACCCCAGAAGGATTTTTTGGTAAAGCAGCTCCTTGCTGAATGAATAAAATAGCAATTCCAGTTCTGCTCTGATGGGCTGTTAAGCAAGGGTAAGAACCTCAGTGTCTCTGATTAGCTTTATGAATAGCAAAGCCAGAGTGAAATTAGTAGTCCCCTTGTTATGGTCACAGAATGGCAAAAAAGAGAAACATGAAATTATATCTACCTGTGCTGTGCCCCTCAGAAAGAAGGCCAGTGGGGGGAGGGGGTCTCATTTACTATGGACAGGTAGTTCTGGCCTCCTCCTGATATCTTGGTGACCGATCCAGAATCCTTGGGCCCCTGTGAAGTATAACTTCTCTTCCCACACCCCTACCACATGTGGGTGAGCAGGCCAGGCTGTGAAGCCTCCCTCAGACATAGTGAAGGAGTCGAAGATCCTGGAGAAGCGTGACTGACACTCTGACTAGTGAGGGCAGCCAAGTACAACCCTCCGCATGCCCCGAGGTGGCCTCACTTGAGCACCTGCACAGCTGTGGTTGACTGGCAGACCTGGGCTATGCAAGCAGTGAGAGGAGGTCAGGGATGTGAGGGGGGCAGAGTACAGGTCACCCAGAGAGTGACGCAGACGAGGCTGCTCCACAGTGACAAAGACTCTCAGGAACTTGTTCTTATCAGATTAAACACAGACCACAGGAGCAGCCAGCTCATCAGTGGCAGCATTCTGCTAGCCAGCCCCACCCTGCCTGTCCTTGGCCGGAAGTGCAGCTGGGGCCCCTCTGGCACAGTAGCAGCTGCAGAACAAAGTCTTGGAGCTCTGGTGCAGCTCTGGTGCAGCAAGGGTCCAGGGCAACCTTGCCCTACAAGGTGGCTTCAAGAGGAGGGGAAGAGAAGTAGGCACCTGCATAGAATGATTGGAAGGGTTCTAAGTCGGGGTCTCTGAACTAGTCAAGGACTCAATGGGCCCTGAAATTACAGGCAAAATCAAGATGTGTACCATACACACTTTACCTGGAAAATGAGTCCACGCTATTCATCGAACTCTCCAAAGGATCCATGACCCACCTCAACAGTTAGGAATGTGGACTCCATGAAGAAAGATTCATTTGATGTAAACCCCAAGAAGGAATTTATCTGTTGAGGTGGATTCTCCCTGGTCAACTAAGGACCCAAATTTTATGCATAATAAATGTCTGCTGACAGGAGCTTCTCAAGTAGTCTGTACAAGGAAGAATCCCAGACTAAGCTCCTGGCCTCCTGCACTATGTCCTCCTCATGTAAGCTATCTGAGTCAACTGTTGTAAAAACGTTTCTGATTTTGTCTTTGGACCAATGGACTGAGACCTGTCCCATCCAATCAGAACTACACAATTATATCTTTTTTTTTTCCCTCATCTGAGGACACTTTTTCATTCTTTGTTCAGATAGAACAGGAGGGAGAGAGAGAGAGAGAGACATCGATGTGAAAGGGACACATCGAGTGGCTGCCACCCGCACGACCAACCAGGGCCAGGGACAAACTACAACCGAGGTACATGCCCTTAACGGGAACCGAACCCGGGTCTCTCCGGACCGCAGGCCGACGCTCTAACCGCTGAGCCAAACCGGCCAGGGCCACAATTATATCTTCATCTGCATTTAAACCGACCAATCAGAACTGCTCCATAACAACCAATCAGGATACATAATGCCGATGAATTGGGACGACATGATTTGCACCCAAATCATACAGATTTGGATACTTCATTGAGATAAAATGGACCTAGGTGGGAACCTGGTGGGGAACTTTCTCTATAAAAGATGGCATATGTAGTTTCTCCCAGAAGCTACATCTCCCCAGCTGCAAACCATTCCCGTGAATGAAGTTTCTCCATTTTCTAATATTCTTTTTGGGAATTTTTGCTGACAGGAACCACTGTTCTAGAAAGGTCTTCCCTACAGTTCTGAGGGAAAGGCCCTGACAAAACAAGACACCAGTCGGGGCCACTGAGCAAGTGAGAAGGTGGGTGGCACCAAAGGCCAGCATCAGTGATTTCCTAGTTTGGCCAAGAACTGGTTCTGCTGCGGCCGATGCCCTGGATGACATCAAATCAAGAACTTTCTTCTCTGCTGGCCTCTCTGAAGACCCCATTTTCCCAACACTAGCCCACACATAAGAGACACGGAAGAGCACCCCCGCACGGAGGCCACACATACCCACAAGGCAGTCTGACACTGGTAAACCCTTTACTCTGGGAGGGAATACCCAGGGGTTCCTAGTAAACAACCTGAAACGCTAAGTGTGATGCTGGTACCACAGCTTAATATTTTTCTGGGAAAACCCCTGCATTCTGGCATTGGATCAGGCAGGAGTGAAGGGCCCTCAGGTCTGTGTAACCTGACCCATGGCAGCTATGGGTTCTCCAAAAGGCCCATCCTGGCCTGTCTCTCCCATGAAGGGCAAACAGGCAGGTCTATCCTCTCTAAATGAGGCCACCTCCAAAGCTAAGAATTCTAAAAACCCTCATCTGGCCCTGGCCAGTTTGGCTCAGCGGTTAGAGCGTCAGCCTGCGGTCCAGAGAGACCCGGGTTTGGTTCCCGCTAAGGGCATGTACCTCGGTTGCAGTTTGTCCCCGGCCCTGGTTGGTCATGCGGGTGGCAGCCACTCGATGTGTCCCTTTCATATCGATGTTTCTCTCTCTCTCTTCCTCTCTCTCCCTCCCACTCTATCTGAACAAAAAATGGAAAATGTTCTCGGGTAAGGATTAAAAAAAAAAAAACCCTCATCTGAGCTACATTTATAAATTACAATTCAGCAAGAGACTACGGTCACTCTTCCCCATCCAAAAAAAATATATATATATCCCCAAACCTTCTGAAACAGGAAGATTTGGGGGTTTCATTAATACTGAATTCTTTTTCCTTGAACCTCCCAGAGCAAAGACCTAATGAGCTCATAGCAAGTCTGGACAGGAGAGGGGAGGGCCCCAGCCGCTGGCCTGCCTGGTCCCAGAGGCAGCCACATTTCTTACCACAAGGAATGCACAAAGTTGAGCTTTCAAAGGCCCTTCCCTCTGCCCCCAGGTCACTGTCTCCTCCAATTGCATTGCAGTCGGCCTCTGCCCCCAGCTGTGTCTGCCAGCCACTCCTGCAGCCACTGCTCACCCCCTGGCCAGCTGAGATGGAGGGCTGAACCCAAGGACTCCCAAAGCTTGTGACAAAAGGGAGCCGTGAGCCACTCAAATCATGGTCCCCTCCATCCGCTCTCAACCCCTGAGGATGGGAGAACTTGGGCAAGGGAGCAGAGGTCCCCAAGAGGCCTGAAGTGAGGGGTACGTGGGGAAAGCAGGACTTCCAGAACCTTCATACTGGCTGGGTGCCACCTGGCTCTCCTCACTGGACAAAGAGTTCCTCTTTCTGTGGAGGCTCTAAATCCCCGGACCTTTTTATCACTGCTGCATCAAGGGTCAGCCCTGGGGCCTGCTCTGGGGAGGGGGCCTCAAAAAGAAGCTGAATTCAGCAGCTACGTGTGGGTATCAGCAATCAGCCCCATCCCCCACCCCATCCCCAGGTCTCAGCACCAAAGAGGGGCTGTTCTCACCCGGTCTGCAGAAACGAGACCAGGGGGTGGCCTGTCAGCCTGCCTGCCAGACTCGACAGCTGTTATCTGGCTGCTGAATGGTTTCCTGGTACACCTCAGTACCTTAGAAAGGCATTCTCAGCCTTTCCTGTACAGTAATCCTGTCCAGATGATTGATAAAATTCCAGTGCAGTCCCAACTCTTTCTGAGCGGCTCCTGTTTAATTATACCCTTTGGGAGAAGTCACTGGGGGATTTTTTTGTTGTCGTTCTTGTGTTCCTCCTTGTCCCAATTACAAAAAGGTCATGTCCCACTCCTACCCCCACCACCGATACCTCCTTTGCTGGAGCATTGCCGACTGATGTGTCCCAGGAGAAAGGGCTGCAGTCCCCCCTCCAAGAACCTGCTGACCACACTCCACCCACGCCTGGTCAGCAGCAGAGTTTCCATAGGCAGCCGTGAGGAAGGGGGCGCTACACATGCAACACCCCCAAATGCCAGCACCCAAAGGATTTGCCACTTCTTCTTGTTTAGATACTAAACCTACTTACAGAACATGAATTCCCAAAGCTCCAGGCCAACATTACCTTCGAGATATAGGTCAGCTGCAAAGATCCAACAGCTCCTGCCCCAATTGCCAGGTTCTGAAAAAAAAAATATGTTTTTTCATTTTAAGAAGGATGCTACGTGAGTTCATGGAAACAGCACTAAGAGACAGGAGACCATGCTTCTAGTTCTGTTCACGCCACTTACTGGCTTTGCAGTCTTGGGCAAGTCACTTACCCATTCTTTAGCTCACTTTCCTCCCTGCAAAACAGTGATCAGCCCTGCCATTATGTGTGTGCATTAACGTTGCCCATGGCCTGGTGTACTGTAGAGAGGCCTTCCAGGACAGTGGGTAAAAGTGTGAGCTCTACCATTTGACTATGAAAAAGTTCCTCAGCCATTCATCTTGTTTTTCCTTCTGATAACAGCACACACCTCACAAGGCGGTTGAAAGACTGAGTGAGTGCGTTAAAGAGCATTTGGCACACAGGTGACTCTCAAACAAGTGTTAGCTACTATATTTTTCTGTCCTGACTAATCTGATCCCCTTGTTGGCTTGTTCCTGTTTTATGCCACTTCAAATTCTTTTCGTAATAGATAGGGTACAGATTCACACAATACAGAAATAAAAAGTACAGCTGTTCAGTCTATTTCACAGGACAATTATGATGTCCACATGCTATAAAACACAAAGTCAATATACTGTTAAAACAGCAAGAAATTCATAGGCACCTTTTGTGGCAATATCTACCTTCGCACAGTCTCTGTGGCTTTCTTTCTCATTTCTCCGATGTCAGAAATGAAGCAAGGACACAGGGGTAGGCGCATACCAAAGAAAAGCCAAGAAATCACAGTTGTGGAGTTTCATCTATAACTTGGAAAATCCACTCCCCTGTGAACATGAGAACCTGTCTCCTGGTAACCTCTTAAACTGTTTCCTTAAACAATAGCCTTGAAGCCCCCATTACCTGGGTTGTGGCAAAGCAATAAACAAAGGTGAATCTTGGATAATGGGAATTTAGTAAATTTCCTGAAGGGTTAACAGTAAAGTGACCTTTCATTCCAATGACACCAAGGGAGCCAGCCCTTAAGAAATATCTTAGAGCCCTGGACGCTTTGGCTCAGCAGTTAGAGCATTGACCTGCGGAGCAAAGAGTCACGGGTTCAATATCAGTCAAGGGCATGTACCTTGGTGGAGGTTCGGTCCTTGGCCCTGGTCGGGGTCATGTGGGAGGCAACCAGTCTATGTGTCCCTCTCAGGTCCATGTTTCTCTTTCTCTTTCTCTCTTCTCTCTCTCTCTCCCTCTCTCTCTCTCTCCCCCTGCTTCCCACCCACTCTATCTGAAGTTAAACAGAAAAAATATCCTCTATGAGGATTTAAAAAAAAAAACAGAAAGGAAAAGAAATATCTTAGATAACAGGAAAGAGTACGTCTAGGCCCCACTATGTAAATGAATATACATCATCTGAAGCAAATGCAGTGTGTGAAATGTCCTATTCACAAGAAAATGGATGGGAATAATACCATGCTAAAAGGATCCTCAAAGCCTTAGAATTTTAGAATAAAAGATCTAGAAAGAGTCTCTCCCCACCTTGGTCAATGAGGCCATAAGTCTAAAAGCTGCCTTTCAGTAGCCAGAATAGCATTTCAAGTATGGATGATTTGATTTACACATTATTTTCAATTATACAGTACCTGCATTTTATTTTTTTAGGAAACCACTATTGGGGAAAGAGAGAGAGGCCTTACAGCCCCTAAATCAGAGTTCCAAACAGAGCCCCAGCACCCCAGGAGACCTGTGAGCAGCTGACTGCCCAGGCGGGAAGGAAATCACTGCCAGGCAAGACATTCAGGTCCTCGGGGAGTGAGGTGGCCTACAGCAGGCTCAGGTCTGCGTGGCCTCCAGAGACACACGGACCCACAGGCCTCTGCTGGACACCGAGCACCTCCTCTACCCCAGACCCCAGCCCCCAATTTGCACCTGAGGAAAATGAGCTGTGAGTGAAGACATTTGTCCAAAAGGTAACGTAACTGGTGGCAGAGCCATGTCCTGACTTCCGCCGCAGTGTCCTAGAAGCAACACTGTCATTTTAAAAAGCTTGAGCTGTTGGAATTCTAGCTTCAGGACATGACTGCCCTATGACTGTATGCAATAATAGGCCTGGTTGCACAGCTTGCTGGGAACGTGATGTGAAAATACACAGAGAGAGCGGAGCCATGTTGGTTCCTATCTCGGACCCTCATGCTAATTACAAGATGCAGATGCCAAGTCTTAGGGGCTGGTCTTGCACAACTCACTCTCCTGACCCCAAACCACAACCCCAAGGCCTCCAGGGCCCTATCCTGAAGTATGAGTGATGAAGTGGGATTTAGGGAAGCTTTCGGACACTAACCCAAACGTAATGACAGATAGGAGCCGACTGGATTTCAACTACTTCACCCTCTCCACCCTCCGGGATTGTTCCTCCCTCTGCGCTCTACTCCAGAGAGAGAGACAGCCGTGAACCAGGCCAGTCCCTCTGGGGGTGGGGGATGAGTGTCCTCACTCCCTTCACCCACAGCCCACCCACGGTCTGCTCCCAGGCGCACGTGTACCTCCTCTCCCTCACGATGAGAAGCCAGGAAAATATGATGAACGTCGGAAAATGACAGGAGAAAACAACCCCAGAATCAGAGCCACAGCTCAGTGTCCACGCCAATGACTGGACCTAGGAGATGAACAGTGACAGCTCGCTGCCAGGGTGGCAGCTCCAGGCAGACACTTCTTGCTCAAGGAAGAATGTGCCAACGAGCCCGAGTTGTGCGAGCCTCAGCAGCCAGGTATCAGGGTAGGAACACCAGGAAACAGCCCCTGGGAAGAGGCAGGGTGTCGGAGCTGCAAGCTGCCCCTCCTGGCCACAGCCCATCTGCTCTAGGGAAAGGACTAGACCCCACCTTCACGAAGCCTGCTCCACTGACTGCAGCCGGCCCTGACCTCTCCTCGCACTGATTCACACACACCAACCCTTCTCACTTTGCTGCCCATCAGAATCTCCTGGGGAGCTCATTTTTTAAAAACATGTTTATATTACTTTTTTAGAGAGAATGGAAGGGAGAGAGCGAGAGAAACATCGATCGGCTGCCTCCTGCATGCCCCCCACTGGGGATCAAGCCTGCAAGCCGGGCATGTGCCCTAAGCAGGAATCAAACCGGCACCTCTCAGTCCTTGGGACGATGCTCAATCCACTGAGCCACACTGGCCAGGCAGGAGCTTGTTTTAAAAGGCCCAGGCTCAAGCCTCACTGAAAAACACTAAATTAGAATCAGGTAGAATGTGGGCAGAACATACAATGTTCCTAAGTGATCCCTTAAATGGGCCCAAGTTTAAGAATAAGTAGTCTCCATGGCAAAATCTAGTCCTGGATTCTGTGTGGAGTATATTTTTCTGTGCATTTGTCTCTTCTTACTAGAGTTCAAGACATACGTTTTAACATGAAAACTCTGAATGTAGTTATTTTCCCAAACCAGTCCATGAACATCTGCAACCCTCACAGAGGACTGGAAGACAGCCCCACTTCTAGCCTCCACTAGCAAACTGTTTCCCTGGGAAGACTTGTTGATGTTTCGAACTTGGGTGTCACTTGACTTTGCAGCTCCCATGACCTGGAGCAGGTTTCCTGTGGGACTGGAATCGCATAGAGGTGGCATGAAAAGACTGAGTCCCAACTGAAAAGGGGTCAAGGACTTGGGAAGAGGGAGCCGAGGAAGGGGCCAGGAAGAGGGGCAGGAAGCATCTGAGATGAGAGCATCTGAGCAGATGGGGAGTGGAGGTTGGAGGAAAGGCTGTCATGTGAATCACCTGGGGAGATGTTAAACAAACTAATATTCAGCCTTCATCCCCAGGGTTTTAACTGATCCGGGGTGGGGCCCAGGCACTTGTATGTTTTTAAATGTCCGTGGAGATTCCTCTCAGCCACCAGGTTTGAGAACTACTGTGCAGACACCGGCTGGTCCTGCTGGCTCTGCACTGTTGACACAGCAGTTGGGGAGAGAAAGGGCCACGCCCAGCCACAGCCCACAGAGTGACCCTGGCTGCTGCACCAGCAGGAAATAGGGACGTGGACACGAAGAGCAGGGCAGTGATCAGGAGAGAGAAGAGATTCCACCTGGGCAGCAATTGTGGATGAAAATGTCTACAGGTCAGGAGCAACCTGTACACTTCTGAGATTTCTAAATTTTCTGAAAAAATGCAGGTCACAAGGCAGCTTCCTGTTAAATGATAGCTTTATGAAGACAATGCCATCATCACCTTGCTTTTTGCTCAAATGTTCTTTGGCCACCAAGGACCTCAAAGAAGCTCCATTCCCCATGAGTGGAAAGCATAGGCTTGTTTCTTCTCCACCATCAAACAAGGAGCTGAGATGCCCACAGAGATGTGACGTACCTCCCATGGTAAGCTTTTTTCTAGCAGCAACATTATTTCTTGTTGAAATAGAAAAATGTTCCCATCTTCTAGTGAGAGTAATAAGAAGCATAGAAACAACCAGAAGACCTAACTATAGATTTTTAAATTCACAGAATGTCAGCACTAAAAGGTTCTGTTGATGCCTCATCATTCACCACATGAGTCGTCCAAGGCTCAACTTGGGGAAATGACTTCAAGGAGCAGAGAGAAGACAGACAGAGCTCATTACTCCCAACATCAATCTGCTGCTTCAACAAAGCACAGCTTGAGAAAAGAAAGAAAGAAGAAAGAAAGAAAGAAAGAAAGAAAGAAAGAAAGAAAGAAAGAAAGAAAGAAAGAAAGAGAGAAAGAAAGAAAGAAACAGACATATATTTAGAGTCTATAATGCACCAGGCCTGCTGCTAGGTACTTTTGCACAGTTGTCACTTAATCCTAACAATCCCATTTTACAGATGAAGAAACTAAGGACTGCAGGTAATGCAACCTGCCCAAGCTGACACAGGTCCTGAGGAGTCAGGCCAGTGGTGAAACCCAACCCTTTCTGATTCTCAAATCCCATGAACTTTCCTCTCTACCATGGCACCTCCCATGAGAGAATCCTTCAAATGTACAAGGCCCTGCTCATTATCTAAGAGTTGATTATCAATGAAAGG